CTCCTTGTCAGCACCTTAGTAAATGTACAGAGAACAGTAGGGAGAATATGAATACTGATGTTAGGGTGTAAAGGGTTTAATAATTTTATTAAAATGATTCATTATGAAGTAATAATTGGTAATTTTTGGAGTGTTCTCTCTCCTAACAGATTGAACAAATGGAATTGGAAGTCAGGGAAGTAACAGGAGAAGAAAAAACCAAACTGACAAATAGACTTAAAGCTTACACGAATGAAATGAAAAGATTTGATCAGGATTTGGTATGGAAAAAAATGTCTTTATTGAGCTATTCTCTGTGATTTATGACTGATTTTGTCATATTTCAAAACTGTTAGCTAATACAGTAAATGGTTTGAACCCGGGGGTAACATGTAATAGTGTAGTTTGATCATCCGGGTGAGTGTAGTCCTGAGAAGGACTGTTTTTGGTAATGGTTTCAGGTTGTCAAAACGTCAGTCACCATTACCAACAATAGTCCTTCTCAGGACTACACTCACCCAGACGATCAAAATACACTATTACCTGTTAGCTAATGTTGATCCCAATAAGCCTTATGCAAGAAAAGAAGTTTATCATGTTCTACATTAGACTGGGGGTGGGGGGATAGATACATTAGGAAGTTTTTGTGGAGTTTTTTTTCTTTTTCTTTCAATAGGAGTGATAACAAAAATAATTTATTGTAACCTAGTCTGAAGAATATAACAATAACTCAATGGCATATTGCTTAAGGTTACCAGAGTTGTGGTCCATTTTTAGCAACTTTCAGCACATACAGTGCAAGTGGAAATCTGTAGCTAATGACTGCATGAGTGCAGTACTGCTTCTTACTTTTACTGCTGCCAAGTATAATGTTACCATTCTGGTGAACATGCTGTGCACAACAGAAAAAAGAACTTGTGTATTCAATTGCCATACTCAGCCAAAAGTAGCTAAAAGCTAACAGATCATATGCCTAAACTGCACCTTTAATAATTTTGCATATCTTTGTAATTTTTTCGAAGGTCACCACCCTCCCCTCCTAGAATTAAAAGTAGGGAAAGGTTTCCTTTACCCTCCCTCATAATACTCTGAGAACTTACCATGCTGTTCTTTTTTTTTCTTTTTTTTTTTAACCATCAAGAGTTATAAAAAGCTTGTACCAGTGTACTAACACTTTTTTGTCTCTTAAAGAAAAAAGCAAAGGTAGCATTCTCTGATCAAGAGGGTAGACATGAACTTCTTAGTGGTGAGGATTCTCATAACTCAGAAGATCAGGTACAGTATTGGGCACAGTTTTCCACATGTTACAGTTCACATTTTACATTTCACATTTTGAATTTCACACATTACACTTCACATGTCACGTCTCTCATCTAGTATATCACATCACATACAGCATTGGGGGTTCATCTAGGCAAGTAAAGCATATATTTACAACCAGAGTGCCAGAGTAAGGGATACTTTTGGCATTTTTGTAGAAACTTACTTGTCTTAAATTGTATTATTCCTTCTGTTTAGAGAGCCCGATTGTTGGACAACACTGAAAGAGTGGAACGATCTGGCAGACAACTTGATGAAGGTTACAGAATGTGTGTGGAGACAGGTGAGAGTGAAATCCTACTGCGATGCTGATACAGACCAGAACTTCCATGAAATTTGTCCATCATGAAGCCCTACTTGTGTTTATTACTAGGCATACTATTATTTGCCCTTCCTTTTTCAAATTTCACATTTCACATTTCATATTTTGCAGTTCGCATTTCTTATCCCACATATCACATTTCCCATCTCACATATTGCGTTTCCCATTTCATGTATCCCATTTCCCAGCTTGCATTTCCCATGTCACATCTCACATTTCACTTTTCCCATTTCATCTTACACCTTACACCTTTTCACTCTTCTTATCAGCCTCATAGGTTTACTAGCGCAATATGAACAAATGATGATAATAAATAACACAACACTGACCAATCAGGCTGAAAACTTGACCTGATGTCATTGAGTCCACCATGCTTGTATTTGTATATTTCTATGTTTTGTTTTTCACTTTCAAAATCTTTGTTTTTTTAGCTTTAACATTGAGAATTAATATGTCTTGTGTGAGATATTCTACAATTAACTGTCTTAACTTGATGAACAAGAAATAGATGGGTGTGGTAATGATTGCACAGGCAAATGATGTTACCCATTCAGAAATTAAACTTATGTTTCATCCTGATGAATTTTGTAACTTGGTCTTTCAGAACAAATAGGAGTAGATATTATGGATAATTTACATAGAGACAGAGAAGTCATAGAGAGAGCAAGGGAACGGGTAAGTGATTATCCTTTAACCCTTTACACCCTAACATCAGTATGCATATTCTCCCTATTGTTTCCCTACACATTTCCTAATGTGCTGACAAAGAGAATTTATATGAAAAAAAAGAGTTTCTTAAATTGGTGATCAATTCCTTTATTCTCGTGACTGTAATGTTTGATTTAGGGGTGATGTTGTTAGGAGAAATTAGATGCTGGTCAATCTTAGGGTCAAAGGGTTAAAACCTTAAGAGTGACCAGCATCATAATTTCTCCTTACAGTGATACTGCTGAATCATTCTTTAAGATAAGAAGAATAAAGGAAATGATCACCAACTTAAGAATCTTTGATTGTTAATTAGCTCTCCTTGTCAGAACCAGTAGACTTCTACTGGGAATTTTAAAAGCAAACACTTAATGCCAGTTGAAGCTACAGCCATGAAATCTTTATCTTGCCCTGCCTAATTGTCTAGCAGCTTCACCTGTTCTCAATCGTAAATCTGGCCAAGCCCCGTAATAGCTGTCGAAATGACTTACAAATACAGGCACTACAGATAGTGTTTGCTTGTGAAACAAATTTAGATGGTAATAGTTTTTGCTTTTTTTCTCACTATTGCAACCAATTGGTCTCAGCTTAAAGCACCGCAACACTAAATGCAAGTAATGTTGTAGTCATAGCACTGAAAGGGTTGGGCTCTCAGCCTCTTGTGAACATTTTCAGATCACTGAATACCGGTAGTGTCCCAAGTGTTCATAACAACTCTCTCTCTTTTTCTTTGCAGACTCGAGCAACAGATAAGAATCTGTCAAAAAGCTCAAGAATTTTAACAGGAATGATGAGAAGGTATCATCCCCTCTTTATATTTTGAGCTGTAAGATGTACTGTTGGAGGAAATGTGAATGTCAAAACTTGTTACCCATTTCTTTGTAGTTTATAAAGACCAGGGGTTCCAATAAAAGCCAACTACCTGCTGTCCACATCAGTGACACACTCGGCTGCACCTCGTGTGCCACTTTTTTGTTCTTAACACATTTTGATGTCATCTGTGATCTATTACTGAACAGATGCACGGCAACTTGGAATCTATTTGTTAATTCGCTATTGGGAGTTAAAGGGTAAACAGTTTGGTACAAAATTTGACCAGGAGAGTAGGGGTGGGGAAAGAAGCAAAAGAGAGGTGGAAAGAGCTTAATCTATGTAGAATAACTCTAACTATGACTATGCTTTATGTGAGAGGTGTAGAGGCCTATATTGGTCAGTGCACTGGACTCTGGGTCTAGAGCTGCAGGTTTGAGACATTGGCAGGTCTGTGAGATGTGTTCTTGGGCAAAATACTTTGTGCTCTTTCTAAGCCTCTCTCCAAGCCTCTCTCCAAGCCTCTCTCCAAGCCTCTCTTCACCCAAGAGTATAAATGGGTACCAGTGAATTTTCGGGAAAGGTAACTTCGGGATGGACATGCATTCCACCCAGGGGGAAGTAGCAATACTCCTAGTCACTTCGTGCTACTTGGTAACCAGGATAAGCTTTGATCAGTTGGGGGAATAGGCTGGAGTTCTTGCCCTTTATGCTTTTTGTCAAACAAGCCACAGGAATTAAAAGTAGCAGTTGTGCTGATTATTCAAGCCAGTTTATTCAACCTAGAATGTAACTAATCCATCCTTTTTTTTTAATGTTTTCAGGATTATACAGAACAGAATAATAATGGCTGTTATCTGCCTTGCAATACTGGGTGTTATTGGACTAATCATTTATTATGCAACCAAATGATATCACTTAGCCAGTTAGGTGCCTTCATTCAGGATTTCACAAATTTTAAGTATAGAATTTAATCTGAATTTGTTGAGAAGAGACAAATTTAATTTCAGGAAGAATGTACATACATTAAGTCTGAGTTACGAACAAATTTATGGCTGTTTGAAGCAAAAAAAATTTTGGTTTAAACAGGTTTTTTTTTCAAGGAAATTAAATTGACCACCTAGGACACAGCCTTTAGGAGCGCATTTAAACTAAAAGATTCCATCTACCAGAGGAAATTCTTGGTAATAAACAGTGAAACTTGTATTAAGCAGAAACTCTGCATTAAGTGGATGCTATCTCAAGTTCCAAATATTCCTCAAATGAGCCTGTATGAATCCTCTGACTTCTAAAAGTGATTAGCATGTAACTTCTCCCAATAATATCCATATAATATCAAGCAAACAGGTAATGAGAGTACTCAAACTTATCAAGTTAAAGTTATGATCTTGATCTTATACCAAATTCTCATAACTAAGTTGTAAGGAAATGTGTAGGAGCTGGAGGCAAGAATTAGTAATCAGATCTTGGGAGTTAAAGGATACCAGCATGAGTCTTGTTGATGTCTACTTATAATATCCAACAGGTTTCAATGCCTCTATGTGGCGTGAAAATGTGTACGGACATTTTCTGATCCAAGATGCGAACAGTTTTCTGAGAGCAAAGATCAAGGGAAACTGTGAGCTTCGAGGAACAGGTAATGTCCAAGGACAAGTATACGAGCATGTTTTCGTGCAAAATAGAGGCTATTGTGTTAATTATCCTTCAAATATTTTGCAACGCGCGTGAAGAAATGTTTATGAACAAACAAATATATCCCTCCTTCTGTAGCAACCACAAAACGTTCTCTCATCTTGACTTAAAATTGAAACGATGACTTATCGTAGAGGACGTATGGTTCGAAAATTGGGGAATATCACTCGGGTGATATCCTCGGATATCCCCAGTTTTAGCTGAGGGATATTCGGTCAAGTGATGCGTTTAGACCAGTCGCGCGCGAGTTAAAATATTTGATAGATCATAACTAAAATCATCAAATATCATTCTCTGCTTCATTAAAGAGAATTTATTTTAACTTGTGATGTCTTGTTTCATAATTAAGTTGTGATTAACGGGAGACACAAGTTGTCGGTTTTAAATGAAAACTTAATTAAGTGCTTAATTACTCTTATTGTTCAAAAAATATAAATCCTAATATTTCTTTTAAGTTTGTGACACGAGTATTTGTTTAAAAATGGTCATGATATAATTTTATTGATCACTGTCAGTATCTGAGCGGCTGCGCACCCACCCCTTCCCCCAATCTAACAGCAATCAACTGATGACAAATTAGGGTTACTGTCGGGTTAGGGGAGGAGTAGGTGCGCAGCTGTCCAGATACTGACATCGATCCGTAATTCCTGAGTTTTTATTGATCTTCATGCCATTTATCCGCGCATTCCTTGCATTAATATGTTCGAATGAGCTTTACAGAACTTTGCGGAGAACTTTGGCCAGATTGCATTGAGTATTTTTAAAGGGAAATTTTGCAGGTGCCCCACATTTTGGAATTTTTGGAGACGGGGCCAGACCACAACTTCGGAGGCTACGTTCCCCTACTAAACCCTACTCTTTCCATGGGTTTCGTGAGTTCTTTAACAGCCCTTGCGAACCAGTACAGAGAAGATGTAGGAGATGAGGCCTACGACTTATCGTATTTATCTGAGAAGACTAGAACACCCAACCACTTACGGCCCTCACTTAGTGTGGATGACACATTTTATGTTAAACAATAGAGAGCAAAAAGACAAATGAACAAGGAAAGAAATAAAAACTGTAAGTTGATGAGGCGGTACGTGTTCTGTTCTGACGTGTCCTGTGTCTTTTACACTAAGAAGGAATTCCATTTGCAGAGGTCATAGCGAAGACAGCACGTTCTCTGCAGCTATTTTAAGACCCTGTGCGTTTGTCCGGACTGAGGCTTAAACCCTCGACCTCCGGATTTAGCACTTCATGCTCGACCTCTGAGAAACAGCGTACTCTTTGTTGAGCAAGCCATTCCTAGGCCAATGTGAGACACGGGTCATGCATACTGCTAGGAACAAGAAAAGCGAGAGCGTCGTGTGGGCAAAACAGAACGCAAGAAAATGGGTGATTTTGATAAAACATATTAATCTCGTGGCACTTGTTAAATATGAATACTTATGGCCGGACAGACAGATCAACTACAATTTCGAATACAACATGTGCCCAGGAATTGATTGCCATTTGTGCGGCTCGTCAGGGCCACTCCCTCCAAAAATGGGAGAATCTAAATAATTGCGAATCACGTATCGCGTCGCGTGTCGAGGGTATACTGTATTTCCTCGAATTAGTGCTTAGGCGCTTATTTAAAATTTCGGCCTAAATGAGGGGTGGTTAATCAAGTGGGGCGCTTATCATACTTCCGTACTGATTCCGCTGTAAATGAAGCTCATAAAGAAGCTATAGAGACAGGTTTTCCTTGCATCCTCCTGTGTAAGAAAGTAACAGGGGAGGGGGGCGCTAAAATCGAAAGAGGGGTTTTGTTTGACATTATGGCGTAAGGGTTGGGCGCTTATTCGGGGGAGGGCGCTTATTCGGGGGAGGGCGCTTATTCGAGCATGGGCGCTTATTCAAGGAAATACTGTATGCAGCGGGTAAATTGTCACGGGTCACTGATGAAAATGTAAGTGACATTCCTGCGCGCTCCTCTCTTTCATAGTTTAAAACAGTTGAGCAATGAAGTGGCGCGAGAGAAGCTTAAAAAAAAAGGAGATCCTTAACTCAGATTGAGAAAAAAAAAGGACATGTAACAATGAATTGTCCGTAAATCTAGCGTTGCACACAGTTAAACTGCACCAGACATAAGAGGAGACAAGAGCGGTGAGACATCACCTCGACTTGTGATGATTTATCCACGACAAGTTACCTGTTATTCCTGACTCGCGACCCGTAGTCTCATTGATAGTTGTTAGGAACTCTTAAACAAGGGCGGAACTACTGAAATAGGAGTTGATGATGTAAATTGCCCACCATAAATGATCTTGTGTACCCCATCCCACCCCCTTCCCCACAGTTTCTTTAAAAAAAAATACCCCCTATGTAACCTCGATCTAGAAGTCGAAGAAGCCACATAGGGCTGTACAATAGAGAATATCAACAGCTCATATTCTTTTAGCCTTACATGGATACCAAAGAAATTGTTGCAAAAGTGTCACGCTCGTTTTAAGACGAAAAACCAGCCGTCTTCATGAAATTTCCCTTCTTTTTCAAAGCCTTTTTTCATCGACAAAACTAATCTCTACAGTCTGTGCCGCCAATAGGGTGCTTACACTCAGAGCACCAGATCGAAATAAGCCTATATGGGAATTTATTGAACACATTGTTCCGTTCCTGAGACAATCTGTGAACCGAACAGCGGCTGGGAATGGTGATTACCAGTAAACACTAGCTGATTACATAATACAGCGGTCAAACGTAGGACACGTGAAAGGCGATCAATTTTGGTTGACCAATTTCCTAGCAAAATTTTAAAGAAAAAAAAAAGAAACAACCGTTGTAACGAAAAATATAATTCTGGACTGGAAAGCCGGAAAAAGCGCTAGAAAATTAGAAAACTCAAGACTTTCCAAAGACAAATGTTCATGAAAGTAGGGGTAACCTGTTGTTCGATATTCCTGAAAAATTTTCTTCAATCTGATTAGTTAGAGGGAATGTAGTTTTCAGGTACTACTATGCAAAAGAGAGGTAATCAGAGGAACAAGGGCTTCACTGGGGTTATGGCTTTTATGGCTAACGGCTAAGATTTTGGCCAATTTACGGCTAGCGATGAACATCTTTCTAGAGATAATATCATCTTGCATCTTTCAGATCGTCATTGTGATCACCGGAACAATTTTTGTGGTTCATTTCTTTACGACTTAAGGTTAAAATTTGTCAATATTTGGCCGTTTCACTGTTAGCGTTAACTCCATTGAGACCCAGGCCTCAAACGGTAATACAGTGCAGAGAAGAGCAAGTTTCCAATTGTTTTTCATCATCTCGTTTTAACAACGGAAAGATGCGAGATAATTATAATCTCTTGAAAGATGTTCACCGATGATTAAAAAAAAAAGGCTACAGACTGTTAAGCCGGCTTTGAACTTTTTTGTAGCCTATGTTAAAAAAAAAAGGCTGTAGACTGTTAAGCCGGCTTTTAACTTTTTTGTGGCCTATGAACTTAAAACGAGATGATGAAAAACAATTGCAAACTTGTTCTTTCGACCGAGAGTAGAGTGATGTTTACAGCGTTTTGATGAATCATGTTTGCATGTGACTTGCATGCTTTGCTCAGGTCTACATGACTGATGAAAATCTCACACAGTTTTTCTTTTTTTTTTTTAAAGTTCAGGTAATCACATGATTTCTCTCGTGCAGTCTGGAAGAGAGAGACAAGCACTCAAAATTTTTTACATAAACTACACTTGAAATTAAATTAGCCCTCAAGGGCTCACGCAATTTTGTTGTTCCTTGAAAAAAATTACTCGTGGTTATCTCATCCAAACTGCACGGGGAAAATTTTATAATTACCGACACTTATCAAACAATTTATACGATTTTAAAACACCGTGACCAACTGACTTCTGCGTTTATTTATAAATCCTTTGAGAAAAATTAGTTCTCAAAGCCTGAAAGCACGCCACCTTTACAAAGTTCGCATGTGTGCAGACATTTAATCGCTGTGTTCCAATTGACTGACCATTTAGGCGCAGGAAGGATGCCAAAGAAATTAGTATGATCAGTCACATAAATTGTCGGATAGTGTTTTTGTCGACTAAATTCACTGTTCGGTATTTTACTAAGGACTGTTACTGCAGCCTCCAAACGTTTTCAAATAAAATCTTTTGCTTGCCTAAGTGGAATGATATTGTATTCAAACAGCGAAGTTAATTAACCTTTAATTGCACATAATTATATGTTCGGGGAGGCCTAATTTAGCAAACACTTGGGTTAATGGAGAGGTGTGTTAGAAGTCAACAAAGCAACTATCTGATATAGTCAGTGCCTTTGACTGGAGAGGTGCAAAGGTCAAACAGTAGGAATGCACTATTACTGATAGAAGTTGCACTTCTAAAGAGCTTTCTAATTTTGTTCATTGAAGTTCTCAACGGTTTGATGGTTTCAGTTACAGCAACGGTTAAAATTTTGGCCACTTTACGACTAGCGGCTAAATTCTTTCTGTACTAACTTATTTTTTAAGATTGACGGTTAAAATTTTTAATTTTTTCACGTGACGGTTAAATTATTTTGTCGTTTTACATGTTTACGGTTAACGGTTTACCCCTTTGAGAACCTCTTCAAAGGCCTAAATTGAGACAACCTGATTGTCGTGTCGCATAAGAATTTTACTGCTTTTATTTTTAGTTTTGGATTGTCCGCGATCTGCAAAAAAATTTTCCTCATAAAAAAATAAATATCCTCCCAAATGAGATGCTGTATAGGTTGATAACAGTCAGTGATAAGAAAAAAAATCTGCATGCGAGCAATTTTTTACTTGTTTGAATTCGAACGCACTCGAAATTTCTATCTATAAATCATCTATGGCGTCGATTCACGCTGTGTAACTCTACAAGTGGTGTTATTTGTAGACATAGCTTCCTTCCTGTTCTTGGTTCTGTTGCTTGGACACTGAAAACACCTCACAAACTTAGGTTCCCTCAATAGATCTTAGTCCTCAGCGCCAAACTACAAAATAATCGTTCTCGACAAACACAAAAAACTCCAATCAGTCCGCCGAATATTACACCAGCAAAGTTTTTATGCTCCACGGTATAAAATGTAGGGGATAATTAACACTGTGACCAGGTCACGATTTTTCAAAGTTCCTTTGTAGTCCATTGAAAATTTCTTCAGTTGGAGGGACAACTTAGATAATTGTTTTGTAGGGTAGAGAAACATGGAAAAAACGAGTTTATCAAAGGAAAAAAAAATTGAGCTTAAATTTCTTTAACAAATCGTGACGTAACTGACTCGTTAAGCTGCGGTTAGTTTACCGGAGTTGTACCGTGACTAAGGTCAGTTATTAAGTTATTTTTACCCACGAAAAAATGGCACAATGCCGAAAATTCCGTTCAAAATTCTTCATTAAGTTCCTGTTCTTAAATTC